GCTTTAAAAAATGAATGTCAATGTCAGGATTCTTGTATGCCTGCCTTATTGGTTCCTGTCTCTTCTGCTGGGAGAAGACTGACACCTGGCTCCAGTGCTTTCTAAACTGGGTTACTTTCCTCCTTTCCTACCCCCATCCCCACCCCCACCCCCACCCCCCAAAGCAAGCACAGCAAGGCAAGGATAAGGATAGGGTGGGGGGGATGAACCTCTGGCTGGAAGCTAATTTTTGCACTTCTCCACTGGTCAGCTGCAGGGTGCTGTGCTTGGCTCATGAAGAAACCTGAGCATGGCTGTCTATGCTTTCAAAAGGAATTGGAGGAAATGCTTCAGACCTCCCATAGACATAGCACCTCCCTGCTGTTCACTAAAACAGTCTGACTTTTATAGCTGCTGCTTCTTAAAGAGTTACATCTATATACTACTAAAACTCTCATGTCTGTAACTTTCCACTGTACGAAATGGTGTGTTACAGGACAACAATTTTTGAACCAAGGTACCTCAAGTGGGCTAACTTTGCAGAATGTGTCCAAAATCAAGGACCCATGGCTCCCATGGGATTGAAATTTGGGAAATTTGTGGCTGCTTAAACACTGCTGTGTTTCTGTGACACCATGGTCTGCGCAGGCCATGTGATTGCCATGAGCATATCCCTGACTTCTTTCCCACCTCCCTCTGTCCCCTGTGCCCAATTGGCTGGTGGCAAGGCCTGACAGGCAAGTGGTGATTGGCTGCTTTGGAAATGAGGCCAAAATCTGAAATCTCTTAATTGCTGTGGGTGTTGAGGGAAGGATGAGGGAGTGACTTGGATGCCTGCTGGTGAGATAGGACTGGCTGGGGGGTTCTGGTGGTTGACGGGTGAGCCCTCTTCCTTCCTTGAGGGAGAAAGCTCTTGGAGACATGCTGGAATGGGGAGCGGGGGTGCAGTTTTCTTCATGGTCCAAGCTCCCTTTGTTCCACCTCCCCCCAACAAAGTGGCAGGCAGTTCCCCTGGTCAGCTGAGGAGGAGGAAGAGGCTTCACAGGGGCTCTCCTGAGGGTTGTGAGGGGCGGGGAAAGAGTGCAGGCCTATATAATATGTGGAAATGAAGGAAGGAAGGAAGGAAGGAAGGAAGGAAGGAAGGAAGGAAGGAAGGAAGATTTTTAACACTCCCTGCCAGCTTCCCATAAGCAAAGTCAATGGGAAAACCGGCCGCAAGTCACAAGTTGCTCATACTCCCACTGCTTTTTTGTATTCTGTTCCTCTGTTTACGTAAGGAAATATCTCTGAAATGATGACCCAGCAGGTCACGGGTTGTCTAGTTAGTTTTAATTCCCTAAAGCGGCTTCCTCCTCTTCCTTTTCCTCTTTTCAAGCTCACATAGAAGCCTGAACAAGCTCAAGCTGCTTTAATGAAGAGCAGAGGGGTGCTGCACTCACACAGTAGGTTTGAAGCACTTCTTCCTAATAATTTTTAAATCGTTCACAATCCTGGTCTCGAGTACTGAGCAGCAATAATGGTGAGAACACTTAATGAGTAGCACAAGAACATTTTTGAGGGCTTGAATTGTGAAGAGAGTGACTCTGTGAAAATGTTTTGATTCCCGGAATTAAAACTGCAGTCCTATATATGTTTACTGATAGGTGAGCCTCACTTACTTCCAGGTAAGTGAATGTACGATGCAGATTTGCATTTGAATAATACTTTGAAAGACTGTCTGTCTACATTTAGGAATGGACAAATCTATCAATTTCAGTTTGTCTCAGTTCACCATTGCTTAATTTATTTTGCTGTTTCCTCATGAGTTTGGAGTGATAAAAATAAGTCTACAAAGAAAAATGTACATAGCTGTATACATTTCTCTTAATATTCATATTTTGTTTTTATTTTTCCCTGTTATAACCAACTCTGCAAAGAATGGTCCTTATTTATTTTACCTTAATTATATAGTACCTCAATTAGTGCAGCGTGTGTGTGTGTGTGTGCGTGCATGTGTATAATCATTACATGTGTCAATACATTTTGGAAAAAAATAGTTAAGGACATTAATGTGATGTTAAATTATATTCCTGAAACGTGGAATTTGTCAGCTCACGAAGACCTTTGCCTCTGTCAAGCCTGGGGCACAGCAAAAAATAAATAAATAAAAGGCTGATTTTATATAAAGATGTTGATTTTTTAATCAAAATCAATTGCCTTAACTGATCGATTAATTAATTAATCACCCAGAATCATTGAGAGTTGTGCAGCAAACAAGTTTAATAAAGTGAGTTAATATAAAATTGGCTTCTGGGTGATATTTATACACATAGATACACATAAGCATGGCATACATGTCACATAGACACGCTCGTGGAGGTAAGCAACCTCTGGATTTTGAGGAAAACCTGCTATTACAGGGAACAGTTACAGGTTGTTTTGTTCTGTTTTTAAGATGCACCTACAACTATTCCGCTAAATAATTTTTTTCCTTGAAATGCGTCAGGATTGGGTTAGTATAATAAAGTATGTGCGCATCGTGTCTTCTTTTTTCTTCAGCTGGCAATGTTAACCCAGAGCAGGCAAGACGTGGAAACTGGGTAGGACTTTTATCTTCGTTTATATCTACTCTAGCTTTTCTTTTTCTACTTAGAATTCCGAGTTGTCTTCCTTCCAAGTAAAGAGCGTGCATTTTTGAACAATCCTTTCCCAGATATTATTTCTCTGGTGACTAATTTTTTGTAAGTTCAAAGATGAAAGAGGAATACAACGATTGTTATAAATTAATTCTCCTGTTTGATGGTAGAAAGAACTAGAGAATTGTCCATGAAAAACAAATAGGATTCTACATCAGGAGCCCATGTGTTCAAAATGGTTGAAGTATATATTTAAAAAGATAGAAAAATGAATGAGAATTAGCAGACCTGT